TTCCTGCTGTTAAGAATAGTGCCAACAAAATACTAAGACACTCATCACAACATTAAGAGAAAATAATTAGATGAATTATTTACATTTGTCGTTGGTCCTTCTTCATTTTCTGCAACACAGCTTTGCAAATTAAAAGATAAGTCATTACACTTCACAAGAATTTTTTTTCCAAATTTCTCTTCAAATGGCTTCACATCTGGTTCAATACCAGAAAAGTCAAGTTTCTTTAAAAAGAGAAAAGAAAAATTAAGGGAAGTTGTTTTGCATCTCAAAAGGATCAATATTAAAGAAAATAACATGCTTCCTTGTAAAAAAGTCTAACCTGTGCATCTGGATCCAAGGTAAAAAGTTTAACTCTGCTTTCACTTTTCAACTTGATTTCTGCTTCTCTGGTACTCTGTTCAAAATAAGAATATAAGTCTTAATAGCACACTATTAGATGAAAGTGGTTCTCAATTTCATTCCTCTTTCTGTAATGTTCAAAGCTTTATATGTTTTTAAGTCAGGCACTCTTCTCTCCCTAACTGAGCTTTGCAACTCCTTAGTTTAAATTGCTCTATCATGTCTGAGTAAAAAGTGAGAGAAAGCTCCTTTCCTCCAAAGGCTTTTCCAAGCCTCAAAACACAGAAACGTACATCAGCAGCATGTAACCTTCCAAGCTTATGGGAAGTATACTCCAGTGAAGCTCATAGAGCACTTTGCCTCCTTAAACAAGTTTCATAACACTATTTTATTTTTTAAAAAAGTACAAATGCAGGTTAAAGCTCAGAGCTATCCTGAGACCATAAGACTGCTCAGGAAACAACAGGTTACCTAAATTAAGCAACACCATCAGAGCTCTTTTTTTTTTTTTTCTCCCTTTTTTTTTTTTCCCCTCCTTGAGCTCTACTGCCAAAGAAGTGGTTTTCCTGTGGGTAGATGGAAAAAACCCTGAAACTTCCAAAAGATAAAACTGTCAGACTTAAAGGTTACTTTGCAGAGCCAGGAGGTACACTGACCTTGCCTGGGATTTGTGGATACCTATCTATTAACAGTAAAACAAAAGTAAACTAGAACAAAATAGAATGTGAAAACTGATGGTATACATAGGTTACTTTTTTTTTTGGAAAAAAAAAAAGGTATTATTTAAAGAGTATTCTATGATTTGTAAAGTCACGGGACATGAAAAATGGACATATGCATGTGCCAAAATTACCCATGTAGGAGAGTTGCCATTCCTAAAGTAGTAGCTGGCTAAACAGGGATACAAAGTATGACATTACAGACAGGTGTCTATTTTTGTATCAGCCTGTACAGGTTAAAAGAAGTTACCAACCCAAAATGCTCATCACTGACCATCAGCTGGAAGTGATCTCCTGTCTACATCTGCTTTGCTCAAGGTTAAAGAAACTCCTACTATGTCTCAAGGAAAAAAAAAAAGCTCACCATTTCTGAGAGCTCAAAATCCTGTTGTAGGTTGATAATAATAATAAAAAAAGACTTTGACATAAAAGATTCATTATAGAAGACGAACTTCTGAGATGTGATTTTGAGTATAGATGCTCTAATGGCTTTTCTTTACTTTGTTACCACTAACAAACACAGGAGAAAAGACAAGAGTTGCTGTGAAAGTCATGACCCCAGCACACGATACCAGCAGAGTATTGGCAGACTTCACTTGTTCAGCAGTCAGTATGACTGAGAAATAGAGGACCAAACTGTGAAGAAATTTAAAGACGACAGGAAGGTTGTCTGCATGTTTTTGAAAAGGAGTAGTCAGTGGCAAGAACCGAAAAGGAAGATGAAGTGGTCATAGGAGGAAGCTAGAAAGGGCTCATCTTGAATAGTTTTAAATTCTTTGATGTATGCACTTAACACAAGACAAAAATATGCATTTTTGACTGAGAGATTCAGGGGGAGTTGGTCACAAGTCAGGAATTGAAAATGTGTGTAGTCATCAACCCTGTCTACAGCACATCAGTGACTCCGTAATTCCATTTCCTCATCAGTAAACAGGGACAATGTTTTCCTACCTCAGGGAACACTGGGGCCAGAAATGGTTAAATAGGTACTCGGGCACCCTGATCATGACAATCATATAGTTATTTAAAATAAAGGTCTAATTCGTATTCTCTGAAGAGCGTTAAAAAAAAAAAAAAACAAACCCAAAACAAACCACACCACAAAAACCAACCAACCAAAAAAAAAAAAAAAAAATCCCCAAAACCCCCCAAAACACACACCACAGAAAATATCAACACACACACACACACACACACCCCCGCCCAAAAAAACCCCCTACATTCACTCTTGGTACTTAAATTACAGATAAAAGGAACATGAAGTACACAGAACAGACAGACCAATTGAGATGTACGTGTGCACATCTGTGCACTGAAGCACACAATACCATCTTATTTAGTTTATAACATAAACTAACAGCTGCTGATAGAAAAAAATGAAGCCTTGGAGATGTGTTCACAGAGGTTAAACCTTTCCTAGGAAGACTGTTTTTTCCCCTATTGTCAGGTGCTCTACAATCACCCCTGAAGAAATTTCTCTTTCCTCATAAGGATATGAGGTCAGCTATTGTGAAAATCTCCTAGAACCAACAAAAATAATAGAGCAACTGTAAACTCTTCTAAAAGAGGGCTCAATGCCTTCTAAGTGTTCCACTGGGAAAAAAACCAACCAACCAACCAAACCCAAACCTGAACCACAGCTGAAAAGACAATACAAGAAAGAATAGAGGACAAAAAAAATCCTCAAAACAGACAGCATTTACAAAAAGTAATCAAGTTAAGACACAGTGTACTAATGCAAGATTTTCCCCTGTACTTCTCCTCAGGGAAAAAAGGCTAGAAAAATACATAGAGCAAATTATTTTGAAAGGTAGTATTTAGCAAAGATGAACTAGAATGGGAAAATAAAAAAAATTACTTGAAAGAAACAGAAATTTAAATGGGTTATAACCATGGAATAAAAATAGCCAGTGCTTAAAGAGCTGAGAAAAATAACGTGCTAGAAAAACATCTAGCTTAAAGAGCTGCGTGCTTCTGATCGGAAGGTGATGGAAAACAGGAAGCAGCATTTGTAGTACTAAAACTATATGCACGTGCCACAGCCCTGAATAAAAGTCCCCTCTGGAAGTCATACGGAAGCTAAGCATTCCAATAACTCTGACTATAAAGAACGCAAAATCTTCCGTACAACTAAAGCATCTAATTTTATATTTGTTTCTGAAATAAATTTTCATAGACTCCTGTAAGAATGCTATTTGATGCTGTGCTGGTTTTGGCTGTTAATGTTCTTTATAGTAACTAGTAGGGGCCATGTTTTGGATTTGTGCTGGAAACAGTGTTGATGACTCAGGGATATTTTCATTACTGTTGAGCAGTGCTTACACAGAGCCAAGACCTCACACCGCCCCACCAGCGAGGAGGCTGGGGGTGCACAAGGGGTTGGGAGGGGACACAGCCGGGACAGCTGACCGCAACTGACCAAAGGGATATCCCATACCATATGGCATCATGCTCAGCACAAAGCTGGGGGAAGAAGAAGGAAGGGGGGACATTCAGAGTGATGGCGTTTGTCTTCCAAAGTAACTGTTACACATGATGGAGCCCTGCTTTCCTGGAGATGACTGCCATGGGAAGTGGTGAATGAATTCCTTGTTTTGCTTTGCTTGCGTGTGCAGCTTTTCCTTTAGCTATTAAACTGTCTTCATCTCAACCCACCGAGTTTTCTCACTTTTTACTCTTCCTCTCAATCCATGAGGGTTTTTTTTTCTGATTCTCTCCCCCATCTCACTGGGGGAGAGTAAGCAAGCAGCTGAGCAGGGCTTGGTTGCTGGCTGAGGTTAAACCCTGACAGATGCTTACAGCTCTTCCAAGGAAAACTTGATTGTATGCACCACAATCCCAATTAATTTCCAAATACAGCCGTAGCTGGAGTTAAATTATCACATAATAGCTTTTTGTGCACATGCACCAAGTTGATTACAAAGAAGTAACAAAAAAGTCAGCCAACCAATTTGGGTGCTAAAAGCCTGTTAATGTATTCTGACTGGATCTTTTGACATGTTAGCTATTGTAATATATATAATTTGTTTAACTGCTTGTTCTCAGTTTACAAGCTACACTCCCTTCAGGAGTAGTTACTAGGTCAGACAGATCCTCAGAAAAGAGGGGGAGACCATTCCAGAGCATGGTCAAGCAGAAAAGTTTCAAGACTGCAGGCTGTGGCACACAGAAGAAAGAGTAAGGGAGTCACAGGAAAGAGTTTGGATTCTGCAGCTTCAATAGAAAAAGGTCACTAGCTCAAGTCCTTAGGTGATTTAACAGAAATTTCTCCCTAAGAGAACTCGCAAAACTTATTGCAATACATAAGTCACTGATTTAACTGAAACAAAGTCTGCAAGTGGGCTGAGTTATTTTCTGTTTACTTCTATTTTATTTTATTCCTATTTCTACCACACCTTTGTAAGAACAAATTTTAAAAACAAGAACTATGGCAATACAGTAAATATCCATGAACTTGCCAGCTCGTTACAAACATCTTACAATACATTCACATCATCATTGCTATTAAGCTCCTCTGGACTTCTAACAATAAAACTTGACTTCAGTATAAATATATTTCTATGGGAATACTTTAGTAGCATTTACCTGCATGCAATAAAACAACAGAAAAAAAAACAATAAACTAATAAAATAATAAAACATACTGCTTTGAAACAGCATGTCAACATTTATATAAGCAACTTTCAGACGGTACCTAGTTTGCTTCCAAAAGTAGAAAATGAAGAAGCTCAAGAACCGCACCTATTCACAAAAGAGCTTCTAAGCTTTCCAAGCACCACAAACTCACTGGAAGCTACAAGCCAATACCTGACCTTTACTGAAAGTTCATGTGGCTAACTTATGATTAGTACTTTATATCCTGAGTTGGGATTTACAATATATATATATTACCTTGGCAATTTCAGGATAGTAGTTATCAAAACTACTTGATGAGCTTTCCATTTTGCTTTGTTCATCATCTGAAATTATAAAACCACATTTTAAAAAAATAAACAACCTACCAAACAAAAAAAATTACTCACAAAACTCTTTAGCAAAGATATTTCTGATTTTTTTTTTTTTTTTTTTTTTTAAATCCTACCCCCTCAAAAATTACAATTGTTAACTAAACAAGTTGTGGACTACTCCATCATTTCATTTTGATGCAGTAACTTCTTGGAGGATGTAATCAGTTACATAAATTCGTAAGGCAGCAGTTATTTCTAATCTTACCTAGAAAATAGCTTTAATACTACTTTTGATATCTGCATGGGGAAAGGGGATACTCAATGCACAAGTTTACATTACTATTTTTACTATGCATTGTAACTTGATTTTGAAACAAGTTCCCTCTTTTCATTAGGTTCCCAGCTCTACTGTCCAGTGGTTACTGGATTTACAAAATAACCATTCAGTTAAGCATCTTACAGTTCTACGGTCAGTTGGGAATCACTGACTAACATGTCTTTCACAGAGCTACAGGCTTCTCTTTCAGATTTGCTTTTGTTGCAAACACCATGTTAAATTCTGGCAATCTTCACCAAAGACTGTGATATCTCATTTTAAACTCTAATAATTCCTTTTGGTATATCGTGCTATTTACAAGCAGAACAACCCTCTATAACCTCCTCCAGGTTCTTCTGGACACGCATACGCTTTATTTCATACCATCTGCCCTCTCCATCCACTCTCGAGGAAAAATGCATGAGAGGACATCTAGACTATCCTTTTGTCACCAAACCATCAACTATACCTCCATCGCATTCATTGCGGGTATCTGTAATGAACAGCCTTACCTATTCTTGAAAAGCTCCAACAGACAAAATTTTACACCCAAGCAATCTATTTCAGTACTTTAGGGCAGTATTTGTGGTGAAGGGAGTAACATCTAAATTGAAGTCCCTCACTGCAATCACAATTTCTTATTCTTCTGCCTACAGTGACCACAGAACTGATTATTCCATTTTTCAGCAGCATTTTACACATTTCAAAACAAGTCCCTCCTAAGTTTTCTTTTTTCCTTAAACTGCCTCAGTCCACATTTTTCATTGTGGGTTCTATTTTTCTAGATTTCTGATCAGTCTCATTATTCTCTTCTGGACTTAACTCAATTGGAATCAAAACAGAACAGTGCTATTTCAATGCCAAAAGGTCAAACCTCTCATCAGTTCAGACAGTGAAAAGGGCCATATTTTTTACAACCAAGGAAAACAAAAATTCAGCCCCAGTAAAGCCTTTCTTTCCAAATACATGTACACAGACGTCATCACATAACTGTATTACAATTGCTAGAAACCCTGCTTACCTTCATGAGACTCTCCATTTCTTTTTTCTTGCATTGCAGCCTCAAAGTTAAGCTGAAGGATTTTGTTCAGAGTGTTTATCCATTCTTCCATTTCAAGTTCACTATCTGCAGCTAAAAGGTAACTGCTCTTGTCTTGCATCTTGAGTTCAAATGCAAAACGCCTGACTTTATTGTTCTATAATAAAAAGAAATATTTTCATATGTTTATATACTGTCAAGTCACAATCAAAAGGAAGTTATATGTATTTCAGATCTTTTAAAAAAATACACAGTTTGATAGTTTGAACAAGTGTATAATTACACTTTTTTTCTCTCTGACATTTGACCTTTTGAAGTTATTTGTATCACTGCAACAAGTGGAAGTATGAAAGATAATAGCCCATTTTTCAGTTTCCCCCATCATTCTGCTTGTAACTGTGTTTAAGAAAATAACAATAATAAATCCAATTTCCAAATAGCAAGTCTTCATGTACTCAGAGCATCTAGAAGTGAAGCTAACTAAGATCTACTGATTAAAAAAAAAACAACATGAAACTCTATTAATAATTTGAGTGAGAATCATTTGTATGTTGGATTTTTATACCAGAGGTTAAAATCATAACCAACCTCAACCCTGAATGCCCTGATATTGCTAATCTTTTAAATATACATGAAGCTGAGAATCAATTCCTCCTTTGTTCCTCAACCATTATTGTCATCCTTTTTGCAAAATTTAAATCAAGGCTTCAAATGCTATCTGGTTTGACTCATGTTACTGGGAAAGAATTCACAAGTCCTAAATGAAAACTCTATATTATCATCAATTTTATTAAAAAACCTGGTGATTCATTCGATAAACATTAAAATAAACAATAAGACTTAATGGCTGGGGGATAATTGTTTTGCTTGTTTTAAATTAGATTAAATGCCAAATTACATTTTAGTTTCTCTATACCTCAGATTTTTCAATTAATGGACTAACTACAGGTTGGCAAAACAGTCAGCTTTCTACCAAAGATCAGTTTCTGTTAAGGAGGATACAAACAAATGCATGGACTCTGATCTACGGCAGTCTTACTAATTAATATCAGTACTGAAGTAAATGAAAAGAAAAATATCTTAAGAACAGCAACCTTTAACTGTCACAGTATAAAACCCTGACATGGGTGGTCAGGGTTCCCTATCACACTTCTTGGGTTTTGCAAATCACTGAATTAGAGCAACTATGCCTATATATATGACTGTATGTGTGAATATATACACTGCATATATTATGTGGCAGTGCTTCTTTGTGATGCAGAAAAGTCTCAATATACTTCAGTATTAAAACATAATATCCAACAAAAACCAAAAAACACCCAAACCAGTATTTTGGGAATCCTTGTCTTTTCATTTAACATTTTTAAGTTTGGGAAAAACAAACAAACCCCAAAAACAACAAAAAAAAATTCACAAAAAAATCCCCTATTGCACATATTCAGCATTTGTCTTCTACAAATACTGATGAAAGAGCATATTCTGCTCTATCTTTAATGTCAGTCAGTGAAGTCAGCATTTCTCTCTTGTGCATCTACTGCCTTTGAAGAATAAGTAAGCATGTGTACTAAACGAATGCAAAACAGAAATGAGAAATGTTATACAAATGCAATAGGAACTAATCCCCCCTCACCAAAAAGCCTTACTCTGAATAAAGTAGTTCAATTCTGAGAAGAAAAGCTTGTAAGCATGTCTAAGAACCACCACCATTTCTATGAATTCCAAGTCAGACTACTGCAAAGTACAGTGGCTGGGGTCCTTACAATTTTTTTTATTTTCCTCCACAATTTCTACTGTGTAGAGACCACTTTTTTCTCCATATGACTTTCTAGATGCTAATACAACACCAATAATAAGTAACAATAAAACAATGAATAAAATGAGATCAGCCAGAGAAGATACAGTACATAATATATAATAATAAAATCCTATATTTGGAATAGGGCCATTATGTGTATATTTTATAGTTCAAAATCTCATTGACTTGTCCCTCACCAACAATTTAAGTGAAGAAAATAGCTATTTCCAAACCCCTTTATTCTAGCCATTGAATGACTTCTTGGCTTCACAGAAGTGAGCATTAATTGATTTCGGTTTTGCACCTGATGTTGATCCGTAACTAGTGTCTCATTTCTACATGCAGTTCTGAATGTCCAGATGCCAAGACGAACACTGATGGCACTGCAGAATACAGTATAGTGTTCAAGAGACAAGACAACTATAAACTTAAGCATCCAAAGCACAATTTTACTTAAAGACTACTTTACCAGCTCAAAACCTTACTTGCAGTAGAACAAAGGAACAGTATTTAAAATAATAATAAAAAAAACTTCTGACAGTCTGAAGAAATGTCAAGTTACTTGAAGTGATGGAACAGAAAGTTTGGAACAGTACTTTATTAAAAGATGATTTAGAAAAAAAGGGGAGTTTCAAGATTAAAAAAAAAAAACCAAAATAAACAAAAAAATAGAATCACAGAATAGTTAGAAGTTGGAAGGCACCTCTGGAGGTCATCTGGTCCAACCCCCCCTGCTCAAGTAGGGTCACCTAGAGCAAGTTGGCCCAGGACCATGGCAGCTTTTGACAGAGACTCCACAACCTCTGGGCAACCTCTGCCAGTGCTCGGTCACCCTCACAGTGAAAAAGTGTTTCCTGATGTTCAGAGGGAACCTCCTGTGTTTGAGTTGTGCACATTGCCTCTGGTCCTGTCACTGGGCACCACTGAGCAGAGCCTGGCTCCATTCACCTTACACCCTCCCTTCGGATATTTATGTACATTGAGGAGATCCCCCTGAGCCTTCTTTTCTCCAGGCTGAACATTCCCAGCAATCTCAGTGTCTCCTCATAGAAGACATGCTCCAGCCCATCATCTTTGTGAGGCCCTTCACTGGACTTCCTCCAGTATGTCCATGGCTCCCTTGTACTGGGGAGCCCAGAACTGGACCTAGGGCTCCAAGTGTGGCCTCACCAGTGCTAAGCAGGGAGTAGGGATCACCTCCCGTGACCTGCTGGCAACACTGTCCCTAAAGCAGCCCAGGACACCGTTAGCCTTCTTTGCCGCAAGGGCACATTGCTGGCTCACGTTGAGCTTGGCGTCCACCAGGATGCCCAAGTCCTTTCCTGCCAAGCTGCTTTCTAGCTGGGTGGCCTGTCCAGCATGTACCAGTGCCTGGGGCTGTTGTCCCCAGCGGCAGGACTTAGCCTTTCCCTGTGCTGCAGTGCCTTTCTTTCATTTGTAACTTCTGAAAATCCCAATGTTTTCTGATGATGTAAACTAACATTGTAGTGCCTACAATAGTCTGTATGACAGCCACAGGCTGAGAACCAGAAATGAGCTATCGCCAAAGTTGGAAACAAAAGGGGCCAGAAGCAGCCCAGAGGATGGAGAATTTATATTATCAGACAGGGGGATACCAGATACGTTTTAAGTGCAAGACAAAGACTACAAACTGTGTTTATGAACCGCTTTTTCTGCTTGTTGGTTTGTTTTAAAAACACAAATCAATCTCATTTCAGTGAAGTTGTCCAGAATTGTACCGCTAAGGCAAAACAATTCGTGTAAATCTGTATATACAACTTGCAACATGATTAAATTTATTACAGTTACAAGACTTCCCCTGCAAAGTATCTATTACATGTGTATCCAAAAACATTATTAAGCTATTTGGGAAAAAATAATCCTCTGTAAAGCTGTTGTGTATCTCTGCATAAATCTTCAAACCACCTTATACTAAGAAAAATATTATTTGAGAAATACATTTTTATTAAATTTTGCCTATTTCTATCCAAGTTAAAACCCTAAACCCCAGGAGTTTTTTCCAGGTATGCTGTGCCTAACAAAACAGTTACATGCTGTACTGTAAATACATAACAGAATCACAATTAAAAAAAAAAAAAAATCTTTTCTTTGGCACTTGCTACTGACAAACATTTTACCAAAGCCCTTAACTTTTTAAAATAAAGAAAAGCACATAAGAGTAACATTGTAAAGGTCAAATGAAAGCATCTGGAAGGGTGACTGAATTTAATACAATTCCCACAACAAAAATCCCACACAAGAAGCTATGCAAAACATTTTACAGCTCATGTAAGCACAAATGTAACTGAAATGAACTTTAATTTTATGCTGCCCTTACTTTGACATGATTCAGAGTTGGGGGTTTTTTTGTGTGTTTGCCTTAATTTTGTTTGACATTTTTGATAAATACTTCACATCAACTAGTAATTTATGTTCTTTTGAGAAAGGTTTTTAAACTTCAGCCTCCTGTCCTTTAAAAATCTTGGTTTTGTGAGATGCAGTGTATCTAATTGTTCCTCTGAATAATACAACCTACATCTGACAGAAGTTATCTGAACAGGCAGAATAATTATAATTACCTGAACCACTCCCATGCACGAATCTAGAAATATTGATCCCTTAGGTTCTTTTGATATTTTTTCATCTTTGTAGAAATTGAGATTATAGGATCCATCACCAAGTTGGATTAAGTGGAAAAATCTTCTCTTAAATGACTAGTGAAAAGAAAGGAGGAAAGAAAAAAAAATTACAATACTAGTATTAATTGGCTTCATATTACAAAATCCATTAAGTGCTATTTACACAGTAGTTTATAAGAAAAAACCCTTTTCTTTACACATAACCTAATCGTATCCTCAGAAAACAAACCAGAAATTATTAATTTAAAAATAAAAAAAATTTAAAAGTGTAACTGAAAAACCTGCAGCAAGATTGTACTGTATTATTTAAAAGTATTTTTGACGCATGATCAGGTATTTAAAACCAACTCTACAATATTATACATAATAGATATTTATTGTGATAACTATAAAAATAACTTGTTTCTAAAGAAAGAGGTGATACAAATAAAAACTCGTATTACATCGACCTTTTTCTACTAACAACACATCCGGATCCAGTTAAGAAATTATTTAAAATGCTGGATTTCTCCCACATACTGGATTTTTAATGCATTTTTTCTGATTTAAGTAGAATAAAAGGAAAGTAAGATTTCGCAGCTATAAATTACATACAAGTTTTCCTCTTTCATCCCACACTATTTTTTTTTAGAAGCAAACCACATACAAATTGACTTCTCAAAGGCACAGTGATATTTTAGTATTGGCGTTCATTTTTTACTCTGTGTAAGACATTCTTAAACTTACTCTCATTGTCACACTGATTGCACTATTCATGTTGCCTTTGTACAGCCATCCTTGTTTTGTTATTCCACCCTTCTGGGACCCAAGAGATGCTGCATCCTGGAGATGAAGAAAGGGAGATGGGGAGGGGAAAAAAAAGAAAAAAAAAAGCAGCAAATTTTTGCATCATAATCTGAAACAGTTACATTTACCAAAAATTTCAGAAGTCATTTTTAAAAGATGGAATAGCTATGCTCATAATGTAATGATAATAATGTACTATGAGTCCCTGCCTAAATTCTATAGCTTTCTTATTCAAATTATTTTATTTAAAGCCAGGGATGAGACTGACATCATCTAACTTTTGATAAGTATCTTGGCCACATATATAGGCTTTCTCCATGGCCAGCGGGATGATTCAACTTCTAGATAGCTAAATATTAGTCAAGATAAATCCCACTGAAATAGAGGAAAGAGGCAAAACTCAAAACATTTATTCTGTGAGCTTTTTCATATATATTCTAATCTTCCAGTGCAATAATTTTTACCAGTTTCTATTACTAGAAAAACCTCATGCTTATCCAAAACTTCAATAGAGATTTCTAAAACCATTTTGCTTTATATGTACTACTTCAAAGACATTACTTAAGAATTTACAGAGAACTAAGTCTTGAATTCTTGAATTGGATGTGCTCTTTTACAGATCAAAATCAAAGCTTTCTAAAGAGAACAAGACCAAACTTGGCAGTAATGGCAAGTTCACAAAAAGCAGAACCAATGCACGCATCACGCATCACACCCACTGCCTGTACACCTCTTCCACCTGCCAGTTGATGGAACTTACTAACTACATCAAAACACACCGGATGTTAACAGCTACCAAAAAGCGGTACTCCACCAGCAAATCTGATCAAAATGACAGATTTCTAATATTTATTCTGTGGCAATTATATCAGCAGTTCAAGTAATCTTTTAGAGCAGTACCACGCTGACTTTACCATCGTTTCCAGTTGAGGTAACCCATTTTGACACAACAAAAAACATTAATGAATTAGATGTGTAAGAAGATTTTTCAACCATCTAGAGAAGAAATACTCCTAATGAATTATTTTCCAAACATTCAAAATTAGCTGAGTATCCAGTTGGAAAAAAAACCAAACCACCACCAAACAATAAAACCCAACCAACCACCAAAACCAAATACAAAAATTCCTCAAATGCCTCAACTACTTTTTCTAATTCCTTTTCTCAGCTATGAAGAGAACATACTACAAAAAGTGATTACATATGGGGGATAGAATAATTAGTTCAACAACTGAACATAAAAAACCAAATTTTAGAATAATATTAATTTCTGGAACTAAATCAAGGAACGTTCTGTGAAAAGTTACCAGCTAATTTATTTACAGCTTATTATTTTGTCTAGCTTGCATATTCATATGCACATCCAAACTTCAAAAAACTGCAAACAGAAGGCAAAAGATGCACCAATGTGTTTCCTCAAAGACTCTAGTCTGCTTGATACTATGGAAACTAGGTCCAGTAAGGACAATATGGTCATCAACTATCAGAGTATCTGAAATAATACCCCAGAAGCACAGACTAGAAATACTCAGTAAATTTTCATACACCCCAGTGAGTCTCACTGTCCAAGCAATATAGTGTACTTGTTTCATATTTTCAAGTCATTAGTCCTTACTCCTGTTTTATTATCTAGATAACAGTTTTTCTTGTACAACAATCAAGATACAGAGTCAACAACTGAATGATTCTCCACCTCTGCTGATGGGAGTTATCCCCAGGGAAAGGATGGTTTAAAATCACTCTTAGAAGTCTGAAATATTAGTAGATGATGAGTTATCCTCAAAACTTAGTACAGAACAACCAATGCTTTTCTGTAATTTCACAAACCTTACATAGGACTACCTGACATGACAAGAATTTCTTTACTACCCTTGTTAACAAAAATTAAGATTTAGCTCTATTTAAGACTTTTTTCTCCAATGCAAAGTCTCTGGAGTGTTTCCCAACTGTGTTGAACTGCATGATGCTTCCTAACAACAAAACTGACAGTCTTTTGTATCTCTCTAGTTACATCCCTTCTTTCTGTCAGGCAGAATTCCTGCCTACAGAGCCAAAAAGCTACTGAATCTTTCCAGCCGACCACCTGTTAATACAAAAGAATCCAGAACCCAGTTGTTAATACATGACTTTTACATTGAAAACATATTTCCTGTTTCCAACTGGTAAGTTAATTTCCTCACTTTTATTATTATTGCTGCACACTGTGCTTCACTTTTTTAATGATCTTTCCCACAAACTCAGCTCCAAAATTTACTTCAATAGCAACTGTTTCAACAAAAACAATTCCTTATCTTGATCCCATACCCCAGGCTGATTTAAAAATTCCGTTTACAAACCCCAACCTGATGGCCTGATAGCCTGAATTAGTTTTGGAAAGGTAATTCTCTCCTTTTTAATGATGCAAGATTAAACTAATCTTTATCTGATTTTCCTCCAATTTTTAATCACTTGCAGCTTTTTGTTGTCTGTAATTCTCTTAATAAATCAGCTTTCATAAAAAAAACCCACAAACAAAAGCAAAACAAAAAGAAGACCAAACAACTTTTAATCTAAGATTTGCATATATGGTTTTTGGCATACAAAGATGGTAACGTTTGAAACAAAAACCTCTTGCATTAATTCTTCCCTCAAGGAAAGAGTTTATGGTCCCCCCACCCTATTCCCATTAAGCTCCCTTTTCTTCCTAGCAGGCTTTTTTCTTGTGTTTATATTTTAAGTTCCTCAACAAAGAATAACAGACCTCTTCTCCAGTGACTCTAACTCTGAAAGAGATACGACCTTCCTGCCTGCTCTAACAGGAAACTGGGCAGAGGGAAACAGGAAGTCCTCCCCACTTATACTTCCCAGTAAAAAACATACCACCTGATAATAGCCAAGTTATAGTTTTTTAATGTTTAATTCTAGCCATAAGTATTTTTCTGAGTAACAATCACAGCCAATTATATCTCCATTTATTTTTTTCATGTTTAACTCACTGTTTTCTAAAACACTTCTGAAATACTATCACAGTAAATAATGCCAAGTCTCTTTCACTTCACAGAAATAGAAAACATAATTATTTCCATCTTACAAATAGATTGGGTATAGATGCATGAAATTATTTGTCCAAATATCACAGCGCAGATTAATAGCAACACTGGAGAAACAGCATCCTGAGACTATCTGTTCAGGAATCTACCTATTCAGATACACACTCTGGACTATTTTTTCCACATTTAATCCAAGAAAACTTGTAACAAAGTACTTTTATTTCATATGCAGCAGTTCTAAATACAAGGAATTTAGAAACAAAGTAATCATCAAAGGGCAAAAAGCACAAAAAAAGGTTCTTTTCTGTGATGCAAGAATTCAAGTACTCATAAGAAAAGAAAACACTGGCACTTCAACACTGTGTTTTGAAACAGGGTGTGATAAAAATTAAATAAATCACACAAATAACAGAAGCAGTTACTGAAAAAGAAAAGTCTTTGACATTTGAAACATACTTCAAAATTGCTTGAGGTTACAAATATCTCTGGTTTCCCTAAGCCAATGACAAAAAAAGAAAATACCTTAGAGTTATAGGGGGTTTTTTTTGTTTGTTTGTTTTAAGCTTTTGTTTCCATGACAGATCTCCAGGTCCTATCCTACACTCAAATTTGTGACCTACTACTCACACTATATGGTATACCGTCATGCATGCTTAAGCGTGTGTACTGTCATGTTGGAACAGATTCACCCATGATTTTCCTTGACTTCGTGATTAAACTGCATGAAATATTTCTCTCTATATGGGCATCTATACAGAAACAGTATAAGACAAGATAGATTTTATGAAAACTGAAGGATTATACATCACCAAGTATTAAAACATCAATTTCACCATCTGTCAAAAATTGTTCTACTCACATGACAGCTCTCAGGCTATTTGAAAGGAGATTGGGAAAAAATGTAGTTATTTTTACCTGTCAGGCTGTTCAAGCTAATCTCTGTTTTTATTACCGGACTTCAACACTTAATCCAACTTGCAACCTCTCCTTACCCAACATTCTTTACTGAAAGCAATAGAAAGTAAGGAATTACTATTATCTCACCTCATCTTTATCTGCTTCTTCATCCACTTCATATAAATGAACTGGAAGCTTCTCCGATTTTGTCCCTTTACTATAAAAGAAAAAGCTTCTAAAACACTAGAATTTTTGTGATTACTTACATATTTTACAGCTGCAAAAATCAAGATGTTATTTTCCTGAGAAGTAAAAAGCACAAGAATAACTGAGCAAAAGCATGTATTTTGTCATTAAATGTATTTCTTAGCCAGTAATTTTCCTAATTTGCATATCTGACCACAGTCTCTCTTTTGTTCTGCTTGTCACTGTCCTTATGTGTAACCGGAGAGAACCAAATGTCTTCTCATTCACTGCACTCCTAATACCTTAGGAGCAAGAATTCATACCTGGAACCATTGACTCCCTTTAGGACAATGCATTTATTTAAATTCCTATTGACTAGCGTGGTTTCTGTTCAGGGCAAGTAAAAACCAGGTACTGAATTATATTCACAGGTTTTGTATTAGAGCTTGTCACAGGAACAGAAGGCTTTCTTGACTGATAGATGCAGGAGAGTAGATAAGGAAGACACAGATCTTCCAGAGTTGCAGGATTCAGAGTACTCAGCCACTCTCAGATATTGAAAAAGTTGGAAAAGATTTCTCTAGCAGACGGTTTAGAAAGTGCATAATAGATGCGGATTAGGCTTTTGCTTTGAATCATCCTGTAAAAATCTGCACTAGTTCAAATATTTGTTCTAACCATCTCAGTTAGGTTCTATTTCCTAAGCTCCTAAAGAGAGTTCCAATGCCTTTGAAGCTACAAAAACAGGATAGTGCAATTTTTGTTTCATCTAAACATTAGCCTGTTTTAGTTACAATACTTACATTCACAAAGTCAATGCTACAGTTTCTTGTTTTGACCTGCCTATTAATAGGGCAGCATTATTACAGTATCTTTCTAGAAAATGGTTTAACAAGATTTTATACCTTCAAGTTCATCAATATAAATTCCATCCAAGAAACCTTTATCATCTCTACTGACTATTAAACATTGATGTAGTATATTTCAAGTTACATATTACATGTATTAATACATTTCTGTAATAGAGTCATATTAAATACAGTTAGAGTTCTTTCACAAATTTCAAATCTTTATTATACCACTAGATAACACACTTACTTTGGAAGCTGTCGAAACTCTCCTGAATAATCTTCATATCTATAGTTAACAACATGCCAGTCTGAATTGTAGGTTTTGATACACTGTTTTAATGAAAACCAAATATCAATTGGAAGAGGATTAACAGCATTACCTAGACATACACACAAGAAAATCTCTTGAGATACAGCTGTTTATGAACTACTATGGCTACACATCAATCTCAGAAAATTCTGTATACTTCCTTTTTTTTGCAATACAGTCTAGTGCAATACAGATTTTTGCAACAAGTGATATGTTTCAATAGAACATTATCATCTGCTAGAGTGTATCTTATAAAACCAGAAAATGGTCAATACACTCAGCATATGGATTAAACTTCTTCAGTTGTCTGAAAAGTTAAAGTAGCATTTCACTGAAGCTGAAAACATGACTGAGCCTTTAGAAAACTCAGCATTAATATACAGATGGATTATTAAAATTGAGTATTCTATTTCACACATACAGATAAGGAGAAACTAAAACCATCTTGTCCTTAAATTTGTATTTATAGTGCAATTAAATTAATATTTAAACTACATGCTTCCAACTGTTTTAAAGCAATTATGTCATTAAGCTCTGGACTAGATCACAGGAAATACCTTTTTACTCCACCCATACTGCTACAACATAAAAGTACTGGTTTATCTTGGCTTTGATCAAAGTATCATAAAACTGACAAAATCTGTTGCTGGAAACCATATGGTACAAAATTTTATATGTTACATGAATAGACTTACATGTACACAAACATAGCATCTAATAATTCAAAAAAATCTTTTATTTATATTTCAAAATACAAATACTTGCCCAGCAATTGTTTCTGGAGAAACTTATTAAACTTCATGAATTACCTATAACATTCCTCCCGGCTTGTCTACCCTCTTCAAATTTACCTAAGAGTTGCTTAGGTTGAATATTAAAGGCATGTATCACCGTGGAGAAAACACTTTGAGGTTTGAGGTAGATTCAGCTATTTGGAGCTCCTTCAGTTTTCTTGGAATTACATAGACATTTACTTAGAATCATAGAATCACAGAATGTTTTCGGTTGGAACTGACCTTAAAGATCATCTAGTTCCAACTCCCCTGCCATGGGCAAGGACACCATCCACTAGATCAGGTTGCCCAAAGCTAAAATATCAGCTTAAAGTATATCAGTAGAAAACCAGTAGATAACATAAAAAGGACAAAATTTTTAAACCTTTCATTCCTAGAAAGCTTCAACAAGACACTAAATGAAACACAGTATCACAGTCAGAACCACGGGAATGCCAATGTAAGCAAGCAGTTATGAGAAACCTTTAGGTTTGAGGATGTTTCTTCTACATATAGCATACAAACTGAGCAGTTGTAATGCATTTTGGCCTCTGTAAGTGTTACAGCTATGAATATACCTCTGTTGCAGCAAACTGTGCAAGACTGTTATGAACAACCTAAGAATGACTGATGTGAAACACTTTATCAGGAAAAACAAAATCAGATTGATTCATTCCGATTTACTATTTCTCCCAATATTATGTCTGGAAATAACCCATGTTCATCTGGGAAAGCCAAAAGCATAAACAAGGTGGAAGAGAAGCACGTGCAAAAGCCAATTGCACAAACAAAATAATTCAAAGTTATCCTGTAATCCTTCTTTTCCAGCCACCAATGGAAAAAATACTAGGTTTTCCTGGAAATTTTCCCTTGAAATCATTGACAAGTAAATGGCAATAAATATTTAATTTTTTTTCAGGGCTTTTTTTCTTGTTTTTAAACAGTAAATGAAGCAGAAGAAAAACAATTCAGGTATAATATTGCTATTACACACAGCCACATACAATTCCAGTATTACCTCAGTTACAAACAAGCTTTGAGCTTCCTTCTCTGCGTTTTCAGGAACTGTTGAACGAATGTATCGACTCTGCCGTTTCAATAATGCTGTCTGATAAACAACAAAAACAATTAATGAAACTTGCAATTAAAGGAAAGATGACAACACTCAGTTATATAACTAAGAAAGAAGCTCAGCAGAAAACATCCTGCGAACACTGTTTCAAATAGCCAGTTAATGAGAATTTACTTTCATTCAAAGATTAGCAATGTGGTCCTTCTTTCACAGCAAGGTCAAGATTGAAATCTGTAAGAAATAGAAGCTGTAGAAAAGTGTTTTCCTCTATTTTGTTAACATGGGCAAGAAAATACTAGAAAAATAATTCTACCATGACAATGTAACTCCAGTATTTTGAAGACAGATATTAGGGTAGCGTTAGTACTATGTATAAAAACTATTAATCAAGAAAAGTAACAAACCAACACCAAAATAAGAATAGTATTTCAACTGCAGATCTCAGCTGGCAAAAAACAAGACTTGCGCTGTTAAACTGAAGGTTCAGAAAGAAGGCCTGGGTGACTGAAGTATACACTTCAGTCTATCAAAGACTGCGTATCAAGTTGGAACTTATTCCTGTCCTGTGCTGGCGTTGAGAAGCATAGAAAGGCCGCCAGAGAGCAGGAAATCTCTCTGCGACCCTGAAACTCTGCTTCTCAGACCAATGCTAAAGTAAGTCTTAGAGTACTTAAAAATTTATAAGCACGAAAGATGAAAACTTTACAAAATCTTCAGGACCACAAATGCAATAAAATAATTACACAGCAACAGAAATTATTCTGCACCATGCAGAAAAGAATGTCACAGTTTAGGTCATCAGAGATGGACAAAAGAGTTTGCACAGCCTGGACCTCAAAGGAGGTTGTGATCCTTCACCTGTTAGCTATACTCCACACATTGCAGCACCAGGAAGGATCCGAGAAAAATGTGAACAGAAAAAAACTCTACACATTAAAGGTCAAAAAGAAAGGGTACACAAATATATTACCTTAACCTATCTCTGTTGAGAGTTTGATCTGTAAGGTGATAATTTCTGTCATTACCAAAGCCTCACTCCATTATCTGGGGAGGGTATTTGAAGTTAGAATATTCAAGTACAGTAAAGATGTAAAGAAAAAAAAAATTAGCCCATACTCATGGTCAAATCATTCATCTAGTCCAGAACTCTGCTAAAAAGTAACAATGCTAACTGCTTGGGTGGGAGACGTGGGGAGGTATTAAAAACAAAAACCACAAAACCAAAAATATTTCATGGGACCAATAAATCTTGCAATATACAGTTTTAAATAAAAAAAAAACCAACCAAAAAAACCAAACCTGCAAGAAGATAGTCATTCATGCGCTAAAAGCATTTAAGAATGAAGTTTTCTGAATTATAGAAACATACTCCTTATTTCAAACCATATTGAGTTTGAAGTATTTCTTTTCACAAGCTACAGAAAGAAAGACTGTTAAGAGTATTGAGCTATCTTATAAAAGCTGAAGACCAGAATGTCAAGATCCTGTTCTCAGCCTGAAATAGTCTGATATTTGATAGGAAATTATTTATACTTTGTATTATATATAAACATGCAGGTAGACTACGCTTTTTTTTTAAAAAAAAAAAAAAAACACCAAACAACCAAAACCCATTATTTAAAAAATAAAAAAAACCCAAAACACCACACACAAAAACCAGAGACAAGGGTGACATCTTTCCAGGCACTTTTCATGGGAAAGCCATGAACTCCTGAATCAAGACCTACCACTGTAGTGGAACTCGGTGAAACTGAACTAGCTGTACATACTTCTAGAACGTCTGTTGCTGTTTTCCTGCTACACAATCATAAATATGATAGTAAGGGCTTCTTCTAGTCTTTCACATATGGAAAGATTTTTATCTTAGTACTGTAGCAAGATCAGTGACAAAACAGAAGAATTTAATTTGTTGATTTTGTTCATATTAGTAACTGTCTTAATGCATGCTGCCTCTTTCTCAGCTCATCCATCAGCTACAGTAGCTCACCAGAGAGCTAGGAAATGTAATGAGTATTATCTTTTGATTTAGAGCAAATTCCTAAAAACAATTACTAAAGCAACAGCACAACAATATTTTAAAATGCAAGCATGCACATACATATACATCATATTGAAAAGCAAAATTAAGAAGGAAGGGTTGTCTTCTCTACAAACTTTCTTCACAACTACATTGATTAAACTGTTTTGTCGAAGTTAAGTGTTTCAAGTCTCTGGGTGTGAGTTACCATTTGATTTATGGCAGCATCAGGAACTACAGAGTGTGTTTCTCATGCTCTCAAAGATTAAAAAGAACCTTTCAATTACTGTTTGACAGAACAGTAATTGAAAGTGGGGTTTTTATCTTCTTTAAGGAAGACGGCTTTTAACACTAGCCAGGATTCACACGCACTACTGAGGCACACAACTCTTACTGATACTACTTTCTGAGTGAGTCTCAGGGATTTCCGATAGTAGCACTACGTGCTCAGGTTTCACTGAAGGCCATGGCAGAAAGGACATTTCACCAAGTCTCACAGCCAAGGAGCACTTGCTGCTTGAAACACAGTGGAACACAGATAGTGAATCTGTCCACAATCAGTGCAGACTGCAATGGATATAGTTTAAGATTTAAGGTCTGCTAGTGAGACATAGCCTTACTTAGCATTTGGGAACGTAGAACCAATTTGAAGTTAGATTTACCATTTTACTTATCTCAGGCTAGAAGGTGTTTTCATGTTCTTAACAGTTTTAGCAAATGGCTTTGTTTCTGAGGTTAAAAAAATTAATATATTTTACTGATCTGGAATGCAATTTTCTGAGCATCCTAGTCCCCTTTCCCATGCTTCAGGGCAAATTAATAGCAAGACAGCCACAGTTCTTAAGATGAACATGCTTGTAGGTGGCACTAAAGAACTGCCAAAAGACGGCCAAGTATTTTGTAGTGAGGTGTCTTAGCATAATGCGTACTTCAGTATTTAAAATTAATGTATAAATGTGTAGCTACAGTGCACTTTTTTCCAGGTCACAGTTTACATAAAAGTCAATGCTGCAAAGTATGAATCAACAAAATCAGTCTTTAGTTCTATCAAGATGAAAAATAAGCATGTGTAAATTTTTCATATACAAAACATCTAATAAAAAAAAAATCCAAAGCCAAGTCACATACAAAGAAGTAGTTCTCAAAATTATCCACTTCATTTTGGGAAATAAGGTGCCAACACCTACACTTCTACAGGAAAAAAAAAAAAGGCAGATCTTAAATGTCCAGCATTTTGTCTAGCATAGGAAGGTATCTTCCTCAACAATTCTACACTGAACAGCAGGTCCACATACAGATACGTTAGAAGAAAGGACTATAATAGATGTAGGTGAGAGTCAGAAGCCAGATAACACACAACGTTCCTCAAGTCCATTTGACCTGTCTTCAGACATGTCCATTTTAGTTTGTTATTCCTTAGCTTTTGCCTTTCTCCTAACATGGGTGTTCTACAGTTTTCTCTCCACTTTAGAGATGTTCAAGCAGTTTCTGTCATTTGATTAGGTTCTCTTCCTGCTCTGTAAATTTGACAATGTCCACATAGTGACATTACTCGTATTCTATGCAAGTCTCAGATGCTACAGTGAATAAAGTACAAAATATTGCTGCTGACACCACATACTCACTGCCAATACCTGTTTTAAAAATTATTTTTTCCTCCTCACATGCTCTTTCCAGTGTTGGCTGTTGAATACAAGCTCAAAACCACTTCCCCCTCCACATCCCTATAGGATGCTTGAAGTTATGGTTATTAACAGCTGATTATTCAAAATATTGGGGAAGGAATAAAAAGTGACAACAGTGTACAAGTGTATAAATATAATCAATAAAGGTTTATTAATAAAGTCTTGTATATTACTGGTAAAATAGGGACTACACAAAATGCAGGAAAACTAGGGAGAAAAGTACAGAGTTTCAATTCAACAGTCACATACTCTGGCCTTCCTTACTTTAGATGATGTTACACTGAGGCAAATGCTCAAGAAGCAGTGACAGAAATTGTTTTAGAAGAGTCAATGGAAAAGATGGCACGCTGTATGTTATATCATGCCCTTAAAGATACTACGTGCCAGAAGAGACGTAGCAGTTGTATGGGAAGTGTCAGAAGCTGTATTATAAGGTAGTTTCTAAACTAAATTGAAGCCTTGATTTAGAATAGCTAAAAGACTCAAGGAAAAACACAAAACAGATTTTGAAAGAAAAAAGTCATAGTGAAATTTCTTTGAACATTTCAAAATAAGTTATTGTATTTTGACCAGGTTACTTTGTGCTCTCCAAAATGACATTACTTGAACATTTTTTGCTTGTTCCTTCTACTCAAGATACACCTTCTTGTAATATGACCTGAATTTACTTTTATTTCTGCAAAGTTGGCATAATATCTATTTTCAGAGGTACTTAACTCGTATTAACTAAAAGCCAAGAGCTTTAAGTGAAAGTGTGCTAAATCCATATGGCTCAAAACCAAAAGCAGCAAAGGTGAAAATGTCCAAGCTAGACACTAAAACGCCTTCAAAATAACAGTGGGATGCCTTTGTAATGGCATATTCAGTTTGGGTAGGAACTTACCCACATTTTATTTGCTACGAGTAAACTTATCCTGTATTAGGAAAAATATTTCCTATAAGAATGGAGGTAGTACTCATTTTGAAACAAAAGCATTAAGATACAAGGTTTCTTTCAATAATTTATGTGCTATGCAGTTAATTTAAACATCACTAATTTCGCAGCCATTGAGCATATGATTTTAACGTGATCCATGAAGGTGGTCTGTTTTAAACTAATGCTATTTCATTATGAAGCCATTTCATTGAATAAACTACTGAAATTCAGGTGACTTAGAATAATTATAAGCCATAAAGAGGCACAAAATTAGATACAAGAGTACCAAATGGATATAGTCATTCAAGGTCTTGAAAGAGAAGATTCTTTCTGCTCAACAAGAGCCTAGAAGAGGTATAGCCTTGAATGACTGACAGCATTGTAATTGAGAGTAGCAAGAACATTAATAAGAGATGTT